TATGTTTACAACAGTTTCCTAATAAAAGGACCAATATCTCTTTCCTAAAATTTCCAGGGAAAATATAAGGAAATTCCTTTTCTAACAAGAATAAGAAAAATGAAATCTAGCTTTCAGTACAAAGCATTTTAAAATCAATTGCCACTCCTGCTGTGTAACAGAGTGGAATATTACTGGTTTTCAACTGCAAGAAAAATTCCTTCTTAGGTAAAATGAGCACATTTAAACTAATCTTAAATTAACATTACTAGGCAAATCAAGCACATTTTGGTTAATCTTAAATTAACATTACTGGACATATTACTGATTTTCTATAGTAAGTGCTATCATTTTTCTAATAATCTCAATGTTTTTCTTGAATTATGGAATTTCTAAGGGACAGAGTTAGAAAACTTGTTTTGCTAGGATAATATACTGAACAAATTCAATGACTGACATGTTACCTACTTGCATTTAAAAAAAAATTTTAATTCAACAATATTGCACCTGATCCCCTCTGATATACAAATAGAAAACGACATAAATTTCTCTCAAAAACATTTATAAAGTTGACCAGTGACAACATACCCTCTTTACGTAAAACTGTAGCAAGAGCTAGTTTTAACTCATTAGTAATTGTACTCACTTGAATCAAGAGAAGAAAACTTTCTTGGCCTCATACACTGCATAGTCTCAGATATTTTTGTAAAGGGGAAAAATGTGAAGTAGGTTTATGCGAAGTCCTTGTCATTCACTGACTCTAGCATTCTATATTAAGAGATTTTAAAAATGACTTCATATTTTCCTTATTATAAAAATGTTAGATTTAACTCTATTGGGCCCATGTACAGTCTGGAAATTTGAATTAATTTAATTGTATTTTCTCCTCTCATGTTAACTGGTAATAAATACCCCAACAGAACAGAAATGCAGCTGTATAAAGTCACACTGGTTTCTGCACTTTTATTAACTGAAAATGTTTATTTAAAAAATAAGTCTTATAAGTATTTACGACGTAATTTTACTTACTTGCTACTCTGATTCTTATTAAAAAAAATTCATTGGTAGGCAGGTGCCAAACTCATAGGTAAACCAATTTTCAGTATAATTCTATTAGAAGAGGAGACTTGCCAAAATGTAACTGAAAGTTTTAATTTTAAATTCTTAAAAAACTGATAAAAATTTTCTTGACTAGCCACATCAATTAATATTCATGAAATTGTTACTCTCATCATACATGCAAAAAGATTTGTAAGAATGGCCTAGTATTTTTCCCTGTTATATTTTCTTTCCAATGTGGAGAGAGAGAGAGAGAGAGAGAGAGGGGGAGAGAGAGAGAGAGAGAGAGAGAGAGAGAGAGAGAGAGAGAGAGTGTGTGTGTGTGTGTGTGTGTGTGTGTGTGTGTGTATTTTACATATCCAAATACACATTGGATCCAGTGTAGTATACTTTAATGCAAATGGGTAATCACGATAAATTCAGTTTGGCCCTTCGCTATGGAGACTAATTTACATGTCTTTGGACGATATAAAGGAGAAAATCTGCTTTTGGAAGATAAACCTGGGTTCCAATTCTCATCTCAGAACTTAAACTAGGTGAGGTTGAACCTCATTTTCCTTATTTAAAAAATGAGCTAGTAACAGCTAAATGACAGAGTGGTTGTGAAAATTAAATGAGATAAATAAAGGTCCCAGCACAGTTCCTGGCACAGAACAGGCCATAGAGTCACATTAGTTTCTTTCTCTTTTTTCCAGATTCCATTCAAAGAATCTTAATATTCAAAACGTGTTTCTAGCTTGAGTTTTACAACTTGGATTTCTGTATTGTTTTCAAAAGATTAAAATAATTTCCACATACAATGAAAAGGCCATCATGTCTGTTTGTGTGACAATTTTTATACCTGGAATACTCTGTAGCATCTTTAGTCCAAAACCAATAAAAATGGAGGCTAAGCAGAAAAATTGAGGACGGCACTCCACAATCTTAAAGGTAAAAAAGACACAGGAATCCTTTTTGCCCCAAAACTTTTCTTTCCTTTGCTCTCAAGACTTTTCCGAATTTCTGCGTACAGAACAAAATTTATTTAAATCAATGAGAAAACAATGCAGGCAGAGTTCTTTATAAAGAAGGAATCTCAGAAATCCATTATTCTCTCCTATTTTTTAAATCACAAAACAGTATAAGGTGCAGAATAGTTTTTAATTACCTTACAACATGATACAGAATACAGCTACACAAAAATTACATATAATACAAAACATTAGCCCCTTCTTTTTTTAAGCAGTAGGAAAAATAACGTTCACATTTTTGGCTTTGCTTTTCTACATCTATATGCCCAAGTCTGTTAAATAACTGACAATACAATACTGGCCATATACTTTTAGGTAATACAATATTTGAAAAGTTTTTTGGTCTTTTCCTAGAGTCAGTTGAGTTTTATTAAAAGATTAGAAATACCCTTAAACATATGGAATTAACTCGAAAACTAAAAAATAAAAACTGGAAAAAAGGGAAAGAAAGCTTTCTGCTTAAGACCAGGACCACTTAGGGTTTGTCACTCTCTCATAAAACCTGTAATGAGATGTTAAAAATGAATCAATGTGAACCTATTAGCATTCTGAAATATTAACTTGTTCTATCATTTTAAAATAAATCTATAAAATGAGATTAAAGAGTTTAAATTTAACCTGTTCGCCACAAGAAGTACATTAAAATTCCATAACTTAAGTGAAGAAGTTTATTTCACTTAGAGTCTAAAATGTTAATGAAAGTGCTAGTTTCACTTTGACGCAATGACAGGTAGATATTTCCCAATATACACTAAAATGATACATTTATATAATCTTGGATTTTCTTATTGAAGAAAACTGAAGTCATCACAAAATAATAATGTTGCTAATGATTTCTAATTACTAGTGAATAATTTTAAAAACTAGAGGTGGGTAAAAATAAAAATCATACAAGTTCAGGGTCTTATGATGTGGAGGACTTAAGACAACCTATCATCTCTTCATATATTTTTCCAGAACGTAAGTCGCCTTTGACCTATATTAGCCACAGGCTATCAATTTTTCCAGGCTATACTACTCTACTATATCAGCTATGCCATCCACCATAAGACTGGAAATACCACCATCAAAGCTCCCTCCACCCCCCTCCCAATGTAGAACAAAGAGAAATGTAATAATCTGTGCTTTCGAAAGAATAAAATCTAAACACACTTTGAGTTATTCTGTTTCAGGGTCCTACACAATTAATTTTACTGAACTTATACATGCACACCCCCACCCACATACCATCTTCAGACTGTTTTACTTAAAATCAGACACAAAAGAAAATTATTTTCACATTTGAAAGACAGCAGGCAAGAAAATTAAATAAAGATTAAATAATTTCACTCATCCATCTAAATCTACCTCTGACATTATCCAAAGCTCTGCTTATATGGGCAGCTTGAACATATACTTTTTACTGAGTTTAAAGATATTTTGGCTTGCTTATTATCTTTTTTGAAAGCTTACTGAAAAGTTCATAACTAAACACTGGCCCAGTCCACAGAGTCCTTACTAAAGCTGTCAGTGAATGAAAACGAGCTTTTATTAGTTCTCAGTACCCTAGTTGTAGCCATAGGCTACTTTAAAACATTTACAAGTGATAAAAAGGGAAGAGACAAACATGTCTAATTTTAAGCCTATTTGAAAAAAAAAAAGAAGCTGAATTTTCTCTGTAACTTAAAACATTAACATTTTCATAAGACAACTGAGGGAAAAACTATTTTCGAAAAATTTAGAACGAAAATATTGAATTTCTGACATAAACCAACACTTATTCATTAGTGTATATTTTAATAATATTTATCAAGTATCTTACAAAGATAGCTTCCACTAAATCTTTCAGAGTTTACTCTCTTTTTAGAATACATAGAATCCTCTGGCTTACAGATATTTTTTTTTGTAGAAACAAAGTAATTAATACTGGTAATTAAAGAATAGAATTCTTGTTTAGCAATACAGAAAAGCATTTATTTTAAAACACTTAGTCATGTGCTTCCTATAAATCAACCAGAAGTACAGTGCATTCTTTGGAAAATGTATTAATGCATTCTTTTAAAAAATAGTGATTTGTTTCATGAATCCACACAAGGTCAGAATTCTAGTTTGATTGGAAACAGATGGTATCCCAGAAAAGTCAGGCTTTGGACCTGAAACTCCAAACAGGAAATACGGCCCTTACTAGCTGACTGCTTCCCTAATCATTACCAGAGCTTCATACTTGTTATTTTTATGAATATCCTAGATGACTTTCATCTTTTCCTTCCATCTACAAAGCAACAAATAATTCTCAATACATATGTGTGTATGTACATATTTTATATAAAGATTTGTTTACAATATACAAAAACATAAAAACAAATGTACTTTCAAGCTCATCGCTAGTAAAGATATCAGACTAATAACTCACAAATTCAAGTTTATTTTCTACACTATCTTAAAAATAAAACAAAAACCAACACCTACTGAGTAGCTATGTGGCACATAGGACTTTACTGGTACCACTTTTAAAGAAATGTACAATGTAGGCCTGGTGCAGTGGCTCATGCCTGTAACCTAAGCACTTTGGGAGGCTGAGGTGGGTGGATCATCTGAGGTCCAGAGTTCAAGACCAGCCTGGCCAACATGGTGAAACCCTGTCTCTATTAAAAATACAAAAATTAGCCGGGCATTGTGCCGGGTGCCTGTAACCCCAGCTACTAGGGAGGCTGAGGCAGGAGAATCACTCGAATCCGCAAGGCGGAGGTTGCAGTGAGCCAAGATCGTGCCACTGCACTCCATCCTGGGCGACAGAGCAATACTCTGTCTCAAAAAAAAAAAAAAAAGGAAAAGAAAAGAAATCTACAATCTAATACATTACAGAAAAGGAAAAGACAAAACTTCACGGGTTTTAGTAAAAAGCAATTAATCCACACAGCTTTCCATTAAACAAGTCAGTTAGAAGCTATATGAACAAAGAAAAAGGCTTACCGTTTTCCCATTGTAGTAATACATCAAAGAATTGCTGCCCATTCCAGGGACAGGATAAGCACAATACATGTTGATTTTGAAAATGTTACTATTTGTAGCTAATGCACACAGCTTCTCTCCAAGACATACATCCACACAGGCAAAGAGAGTAAGTCTTCAGTACTATGCATCCACACATGGATCTACTCAAAAGGAACTTATGCAAAATAGGGCTGAACCAACTCACAGAGCACAGAGGGAGGGTTTATGCTGTAAGTAACCTCTTTCAATTTCCATCAAGTCCTTGCATTGGTGGAGGATACCAACCAATAAGACAAAATCTGAGGTATTAAAAAAATACAAGTCATTTGTAAGTGCTAAATAAAGAGAAACGTCCTGAATAAAAATAACCCAAGAAATTTTAGTTTTGTCATATATATATGTATACACACACAAAGGAAGGCAGTGACAGATTTTCGGCTAATCTGTTTTTAGTTTTAGCTAAATTAGAGCACTCGTGGCAGAGAAACCTAGCTTGTTACACCTCCAGTGTTACCATCTGGCATGGTCTAAAGTTGTTTCAACTTTGATAAACACATGATCAAGTAATCAGGAATTGGAAACACTGAATCATGTGTAATAAGAAGGATCTAAACAGTTAAGCCTTGTATAAAAAATCACTTCCTGGAGAAAGGAGACCATCGTCTAAGTACCTCTTAACTAACTAGAACAAAACGTACTTTAAGTTACAACAATTGTATTGAGGAAAATTGAAAGGAACACATTTTATTAAAAAGTTTAGTCCAAAAATCAGACAGATTATCGTGAAAATAAATTACCTGTTTTTAAAATGGAAACATTTAATAATACAGATTTTCAGTTATAAAGCTCCTTGATTTCCTCATACACCAGTTACAAGTTTATAATGCCTTACAATAGAACCGTTCTTAAAAAAAATCCACAAAAATGTTTATTTTTCTTCATATAAAGTATGAAAGAATAAACTAGTTTCCTAGAAGTCTTTGCTCCAAGTTTATTATTGTTCTTAACACTTTGTATATTCATATTTTTATGTTAATGCTCACATTTCTCAGAAAGGAAAAATAATCAGTGTGGGAATAAATGTCTTACAGATATTTCTAAGTCATACTTTGAAGTCAAAAGGTTTTAAAAGCTGTCTACAAAAACACATGTCTCTCACACAGACACATTTTGCTATTTACTTGTTTTCCCATTGTTCTTTTCTGTAATTATAACCTGGAAAAACAGAATAGCAACTTTCCCTTTTTGTCTCATTTCTCTTCATCAAAACCTCTTTGTACTATCTCTTCTCTCTGTGACTTGTAGGTTCTAAAGAGATTGTATTAATCAGAGCAGAGCTCACAAGCTGCAAAAGGGGGCACGCCACTTTTTTTAAAGGTACCTTTCATGAAGCAGAAAACCTCTATGAAATATTCTAGGAATATACTATAAAGGACCTCCTTTTCCCCCAAAACCCCATTTTTATTAACATACTGATCAAATTATAGTACTAAAACTAAATGAGACAATAAGACCAACTAACTTCACAATGTTTTAAAAGCTGATAGTATTGGAACAACAATGAAACCTCCCCACATTCTCCAGATATAGAAAAGGCTAAGCAGCAGCTGCAAAAGAACATCGCTGTACAGCAGACTATTAAAATGCCAGTCTGCAGAGTGGTTTGTAACTTCCTCCCTCCTGAGAGACCACAAAGACCCATTTCAATCCTTGGAGAACTGTGTATAAAGCTTTGATTTACAATTAACAATAGCATGCCTTAAAACCATTCAAGTAAATTTTAGTCTTTTATACACAGTCTTTCTCTACTGACAGATCAACTATTCTCAAAACAGAAAAAAAGGAAAATCAAACAAAATCGAATACAAAATTTCCTTTATTCATCATTAATAATAAAACTTACTTTTCAATAGAAATTGAGGAGGAATAGAAAGAAGAGCCTCAACATTTTTATAATCATTGCTCCAATCTGAGAAATTTTTTCTATATTGGTTAAATAACATCCATCTATGACAGTTAAGCCCATTTCTCTGATGCCTGGCAAAAAACAGAGGGTACTATGCTGTCTGATAAAGCAAACAGCATAGTGTAAATCCAACTAAACAACCTTGGTTATTAAAGCACAAAGAAAATTTTAATATTTTAACACTAGTTTTTATTTTAGAGGCAATTATATGATAATCTAAAGAGAATAAACATACATTCAGATAAAAAAGAAATTCAGTGTAAAAGCCAAAACGAATCAAGCTTCTTTAATGAAAACAAAAACAAAAAAACGCCATTACTTTTGCACCAACCTAATAAAATAAGTTTATTAAACACCTAGGTAAGATTTACTGTTAAACATGAAACCTGAATATGAAACATAATTTCTAACGAGAGTTGAGTAACTAATTAAAAGCTTTTGCTTCTACTTTTCATTATTCCTCTCAAAAACATAAATATAAAACTTGTACATGTGTAGGTAATACCTCCCCTGCCAATATATACCATAGTCACTTGGTGTACACTACTGCCTAAATTAAGCGTAGATATAAAGACATTAAAAAAAAAAAAAAAAAACCAACCCATGCCTGTATCTATAACTATATGATATTAAAAACTCATTCTTCAAAAACAGTAAAATCATTAAGAAAACTGGTGGTAATCTAAATAAAATGTCTCCATATGCTACTTGAATACTATGTAAAAGTCTTTTAAGTTTGTTGCTCCAGTATACCATTTTTCTTGAAGTATGCCCCCCAAAACTACAACTGTTTGATGTAGATGGTCATTTGCTTGATTGCAATTATAAATCACCTTTTATAGTAAAATCTTTTTTCTCTGCTCCCCAAATTTTTAAAAATTAATTTAATCTATGCAACAGCTGTAGCACAATTTCTTTTCCTAAGGAGAATCATATTACAGGAAAAAAATGCATATAGACGGATCAAGTGCTGCTTTAGTCAATGCAGTTGTTTAATCTTTGCTTTTTTTTTTTTTTAAAGGAACATGTCAAGGGTTAATCCTGTGACTCAGTATGACAAAATGAGTCAGCTGGAGACAGGGCCAATTTTTAAATCTGATTTCAGACAGGCGTGCAGTCTGCACAGGAGTTCTGAACTGTCATGTACTTTTTATCCTGAATTGTTTCCACCTACAATTCTACATAATCACTTACGTGTAATTCTAAGATTATGTGATCTGACTCAATATGCATGTCACCTAGTTCAACAATATAAAAAATCACCAAGTTTTACAGCAAAATAGGAATTATTATACACACTGGCAAAATGATTAATGAAAATGCCAGAGGACCCTGAAATAATACATATCTTGGAGTCATACATATTTTATTAGCAAACTGGTGATTCCTGGTTAAAAGGTTATTGCATCTCACCAATTTTCAAATATGCCTTTTCCTCCCAAATGTTATCAGGATGTTATGTTTGTTGCTATTCCAGTAATCATTAAGCACAGACCCAAACCAGGCAAAAAAAAAAAAAAGCCATAATGTGCTTTGCCTAAGCAAGTTACTTCTTTACTGATGATTTAGAAAAAGATGTTTTCAAAAAGTCTACCAAGTAAGAGCTCTTTGGAAACGTCAGTTTAAATTCCAGGCTTCCATGCAAAATTTCCCTCTTCCATCTTACTTTTCTGTTGATTGGGAAATAGATCTTCCTTGGAGAGCCATTTGTATGGATTTTATTAGCTAATTTTTATCCTGATATTTGGATCACTATAACAGCTATAGTTATTTTTAAATGATCCTTAAGCAAGAATGTTTCAAAAGGCTACATTAAATTCCAAATAGTTTTTAAAAGAAAATTTTTATTTGAAGTGAATTATGTTTTTGGAATTAGTTAACCTAGGCCAGTTAGTGGTTAATTTTACTGTATATTCTTCTAAAACAAACAGGCAACATTCCACTGTCCCAAAAGCCAGAAGATCTGGCTGGAAAAGTAAACCTAAAACCCACTCATAAGATTCCTTATGAAAAGTTTCAACATTATTTCTAAGTGAATCAAATCTTGGAAAACAGACTTTCAGAGTAATAAACGAAGCCAAATTTAAAAGCTGACACATGAATAACTCCACAAATGAACTCTACACTTTCCTAAAGGATGAACTCAGTAAATAATAAATTACTGGCTGCAAGGGAGGTAGGGGTGAGGATAGATTTAAGAGGATAGTAAGTGAGAGAATCTATAACTGGACAAATTCAAAGCCAAGGAACCTTCCCCAATGCTTCTTCTCCCTTATTTATCTTGTAAAGAGATGACGTGTGAATGAATGCTGTCTCGTAAATGTGAAGTATTTCAGTTAGCCTTGCTAACTAAGTCAGACATCAAAATTCCAGGTTTTATAACTGAACATTATATTGCAGACTTTTCTTCTAGTATATACTACTTTGTAAGTAAAGTCATTCCTAAATGTTCAGAAAGTTGTTTTTCTAATATCCTCACATTTTAGAAAATTTACTTCTGCAAGAAAGAAATCAAGGATATAAAACTCCATTGAAATAATGCATCCTTTTCACATCAATCCACTAGCATTCAATGCATATTACTTAAAGTTAATAGTGTTATTGATCTAAAATCAATAGTGCACTTTCTAATTCAACAATCACTCCCATCTTGCTGATACCCAGTCTATCCGTAAAAAGGCTTCTAATTACTATCTTTCCACTGTGTGAAAATCTTAAAAATCAAAGACTTGATTTTGTGATCTTTACTCAAGTGACACTCCATGAAAAAACTGTTCCAATTACGCCTTAATTGTGAATACCAAAATCTTAACCAAACCAATAACCAGTGGACATTAAAGATTAGCCTGAGCACTGGTAAAGAATTTATTTGGATATCAACACACATAAACATACGCTTCTCAACACAGTATAGACATGTGCTAAAATTCATAAAATAGCATCTGTCTCAGATATAGAATATCAGGTGTCTTACTGTTTCTTTACAAATATCTCATGTCTAAATTAAGTTTCAGAAATGCTTAATGATCAACAAAATAGAAAACACCTATCTATATAGCCTATGGAAACAAGAACCTCTGTAAACTGCATTTTTAAGGCAAAAGAACAATTAATTTCCTTTTGACAACGATATGACTATAATGAAGATAAGTAAAAACAGCCATACCTCCTGGAGGAGAAAGCAAATAAATCTTTTTCTGAGGTGAATAAATAGTATCCCTCCGACATCAACATGAACAGAACTGACAGATCATACAAAGCTTCTAAAAGGCAATCATTAGATAACCCTTCAAATGAGACAGAACTATGTAATTACTGAGAATATGCAAAATCTGAAGCAAATTGCATGTTTCTTTTGATCACAGACTCATGATGACAAAGCAGTTTTCTTTGAAAAATTAAAGAGGGGGGGTTCCCCTGCCCCTGCATCTCTTGGCTATCCCTTTCTTTCCTCTGTCCTTCCCCATGTGAATTGCAGTTTGTCACTTCTCATTTACCACTTGAAATAACACAGTAAGAGAATCATTAACTATGTTGCAACTTGATAATTTTCCTGCAGATGGCTCTATAATCACAGGACTGCCTAATGGTGTGTGTATGCACACATTAAAAATACTATGAGGATGACCCCCAGGTTTTTAAATTTCTCAATAAACCAGCACCTCAGAAGAGCTTTCAAGACTGACACAGACTTTGCGCTATTAACTTGTTAGGCAATCTAACAACGAAACAAAACTGTAGGCAAACAAAGTTATGATTTAAAATCATCTGTAAAGGTAAATAATTTCTGTGAACATGATGTCTTGGGTCAGATTATCTGTCCCTTGAAGGAAGTGTCACTGGTTTTTTTGTTTTTTTCTTTTGGCCTGTGCATTTTTTTTTCTTCTGAGCTGGAAAACGTCAGATCCTTTCAATTTATGACCAGCACCAAGATATTCTATTCTATTTTAAATTTATTTTTAAAAAGACCAGAAGTAATATCTGCATCTTAGCCCAGAACCATTTCAAGAATCTGTAATCCAGAGCTGTAAATAACTTATACACGAAGTCATTTTTGTCCCTAATCTACAGTTTTGTTTCAGAAAAATTCTTGCTAGTGATAGCAAAATGTTAACACTTCCTACCTCTGAATACTTAAATATTGAGTCTGTCAAAACATCTTACTTCACATTTGTGATTAAGTATAAAAGCAAAGCTAATTTTTGCTATATTCACTAGAAGAAATCATACAGATCTTGAATTTATGGAAATACCTATCTTTTAAGCATGGTTTCTTATTACTAAATTCTGGTGACCATTCTCAACAAAAGCCAAACAATCTTTCACTTTGAAAACACATCTAAGAAGAATAAAATCATCAGGGAAAAAGATGGGAGATGGCATCAGTACATTTTCCACAAAGAACAAAGCAAAACAAGCACTGTTTGACCAGTATTTGGTATGCTTCACTATTCCTAACAATGACAAGTGTTCCTAAACAGACAGATATAAAACTTGGAAGAAACTTGTTAAGGTACTTGTTCTATGTAGCTATAGTACATGTGTATCCAGTAAGGCAGAAGTATTCTCCCTATCATTCATTAATATTCTATGTAATACAAGATGGGCTACTCAGGTCCCGGAACACTGTGGAATTATATCTTACAACGCAAAAAAGCACTAAACTGGGAGTCAGGAGATAGCAATGCAGGTTTCAGTTCTGCCTCTCAAGAGGCATGAGAGCTTAGGGTAGGTCGTTGGCTCTTCCTGAGCCTAATTTTCCATTTCTGTAAAATTCAGGCATTAAACTAGGCCAAAGACTTTCTAGCCATTTCACCACTAATAAAACATTTTATTATGTATTCCACCCCAAAACTCTGAATTCCTATTTTGAAAGATTTTTGTCTCCCAGACTCTTTTTTAAAATTCCATTATGATGACTATTTTTCTCTCTTAAAAAGAAAAATTAAGCCTGGATATGGTGACTCATGCCTGTACCTACCACTCTGGGAGGCTGAAGTGGGCAGATCCCTTGAACCCACGAGTTTGAGATGAGCCTGGGCAACATGGCAAGCCTCTATCTCTACAAAAAGTTTGAAAATTCGCTGGGTGTGGTTGTGTGTGCCTGAAATCCCAGCTACTTGGGAGACTGAGGTGGGAGGATCACTTCAGCCCAGGAGTTCATGCTGCAGTGAGCTATGGTTGTGCCACTGTACTCTAGTGAGGGTGACA